TTTTAGGATATTATACTTTAATGAAAGGTATTTTTATGTTTTTGGGTGCAGGTGCAAGAAAAAAAGTTTAAGAGTAAAAAGGAGCAAAAATGGGTTAAATAAAAGAAAAGTACCAACCTAGCTAAACTGGCGCCTAGGTGCTAGATGCAGAACTTGGCTGGCACCTAGACGCGACGGTTGGGGGTCTAATCGCCATGGTTACTTTCTAAAAGATTCATTGAATAATGCAAAATTTTGAAGAGATGTTTGAAGTAACCCTTGGTGATTTTTTAAGCTCTATAAATATGGACTAATTTCAAAGAGCAAGGGGCCAGATTTAGAGAGTCTCATAGTGTGAGAGTGTGCTAAGTATGTGAAACATTTTCTTTGTGAGTCTTTGTTATTTCTAAAGTTTGTGAGTCTTGTAAGTGTTTTTGGAGTAAGGCAAGTCAGAGAATTTCAAAGGAGTGCTTGGGGGACAATTTCAAATAAGTATTTGTATCTTTGTCTTTAAGATTTGTACTTTGGATTGGATTTTTATAAACATGTTTTGTTTTGTTATCCCCATGCTTCGTGAGTAGTTTTTTTTTTCTTTCTCCTTGCAATATGAAGTAATTAAGTAAGTAATATTTGATTTTGTTTAGAACTTCTTTTATTCCTAAAAATTGAGATGATATTTTTACCGGTCCTTCATTTACATTCCAAATTGGTCACTTGTATTATTAAAATATGTTGACAAACTTATAAAACCAAAAGAGCTAAGATTTCTTGCTTGTAAGTATCACATTATGCCTTGGAAAGAGCAGTCATGATCGTCTAAAGGGGGTGCAAATATCTAGGAAGATAAGCTTTGTTAGGCGTAGAATTGATGTTTCTAGAGTGACAGACAAGATTCTCTTATTAATTTGGCCTAGAGATTGGAACTAAGGGTCACTGGTAGGTCCTATAAAGAGGCACAGTGGGTAATCTAGAAGTTAGAGACTAAAACCTACCCAGCACTACTGTACATGTCGACACCAACTTTAGATTAATCAGTGTTTTTTGCACAATTCAAAAGAAAGTAATGAAATATGTATGCTCCTATTTTTCACAATAACACATTTAAGTTTCTAATAAAAATTTGAAAAATCCTACACTGATTATGAATTATTGGTAAGGACAAAGTTTGTTTTTGTATATTGTTTAAGTCATTAGATTTACTTTTATTTTCATATTGTAGAATTTAGTGAACTAATTTTCATCTTTAGATAGTTATTACAATCTTAAGTAAAGTTTTCTTAAAGTAAAAATTCCTATATTTTATTTTATTGTTTAGCTTTTGTCGCCTTTCTCTTGGGATCGATACTGGGGTTTTTAAATAAAACTCTATATTATTTAAAACGATACATATACTTGAGTAGTACCCCTAGCGAGAAAACTATTTCCTTAATCATTTTACATTTGATTCTCACTAGCCGCTAAATATAATTTGAGTCAAGTTTTTGGCATATTAAAGAGCATAAATATCTGTATAATTGAGGGTCGGGTCAGGTACCAAAGGAGACTCTTGAGAATTCAACCCTAGATTATATAAGAGTGATTTTATGACAGAAAATATGTGTGCATTAGTGTGTATTTGTAGGAATTAAGTGGTGTGAGTTTTACAGAGGATTTTCTCTAAGAATTGCAAGAGGAGAGAGAATGTGAGAGATTTCTTTTTCATTACATTTTTAAGAGAAAATTGAGTAATATTGTAAGGAGATAAAGTGATTCAAAGGAAATTCAAAAAATTTGCTTGGGGAGGAGATTGAGATAACTTGTTGTGTAACCTTTTTTATATATAAATCCATGTTTTGTTATATCTTCCTCACAAAATCTGAGCAGTTTGCTTTCTCCTTCTCCATAAAATGAGATATAGTCATGTGAAAAATCAAAATTATTTAAAAGTGTTTTACTTTCATAATTCTGATGATTCAAACTTTAATCGTCATTTACTTATCGATCTGACCAATTGAGTTATTAAAATTTATTGTGAAACAAATGATCGAAGAAGACTCTGTTTTCTTCAACAAAGTAAGAATCACATTTGATCTCATGAATGAGAATGTAGTTCATGGGCTCAAGTGCAAATAGATAGAGAAAAATGTTTTGTTGGGCATAGAATTGGAGATTTTAGGGTGACAGACTAAAATTCTCAATTTGGTCCCGATGTTTGGAAACTAAAGCGAGATGTTAGCCCTCATGTGAGGGGAATGTGGGAACTCTAGAGTAAAACTTCCTAGCCTAATCACGGATTAGGGACTAAACTCTTGATTAGCCAATGTTCTTTATTGCTCATAAAGAAGATAAAAAATAAAATTGCTCTTATTTAGCACAACATAATTTATAAAGATTTGGATTATTCACTGACTATGACCTCATTATAAAGGGGAAATATACTTTCTTAAATTTAAACTCTTCTCATAAAACTTAGTTTAGACGCATTAGATTTAGCGTTGAAATTTAGAAATAAGAGTAGTAAATATAGTTTATTAGTTGCATAAAACAAATTTCAACTGCTTTCTTATGTCTATAGTTTAGATATTGTTTATTTGAGTTATAATTATAATAATTTTCACCTCCCTGTGGGATCGATACTTAGGACTCCATTAGAGCCCTATAGTACTTGTACGATAGGTATACTTGTGTTTGCATCCTAGTGATTAATTATTGTTGTTATTGTCTGCATATTTTCTAGAGTAGTTGTTCACATATTAAACATCGGGTCGCAGGCTCCGGTTCGCACGATTGGGTTGCACCCTTCGAGTTTTTTAAAGATTCTTCTCATTGGTGACGGTTTGTGAGTCACACATATTAGACTTTAATTTCATGTTTGTTGTTTTTTGGGGTATAATTGTATGTGTTTTTAGTGATTTTTTCGGGTAGAGTTGTATTTCTTGGAACCTTAGACCCAACTCAACTAACTCATCCGACCAACCTGACCTAACTCGAGTTAACACAATTCAATTGAACTATCAGGTCAACCCGACCTAACTTAGGCTAACCCAATTCAATTGAATCATCAGGTCAACCCGACCTAACTCGGGCTATCCCAATTCAACTGAATCGCTGGGTCAACCCGACCTAACTCGGGTTCACCCAAGTCAGCTGAATCACTGGGTAAACTCGAGCTAACCTTATTCAATTGAATCACCGAGTTAACCCGACCTAACTCGGGTTCACCCAATTCAACTCGACCATTGGGTTAACCCGACTTAACTCAGGTTAACTCAATTCAATTAAACCATCAGACCAACAGAACTTAACCAAACCCATTGGAACAACCTGACCTAACTCAGGCTAAACCAAAAATAACTTTCCTCTGGACATTTAGACTAAACTCTGGATAACCCAACTTGAGACTCAACTTCAAGCTTAGCTTAAGTCTCAACCCTTGTTTAATCAAGGATTGATTTAAGTCAAACCCAACCTAGACTAGACAACTTAAGTCTAAAGTAGGTTGGACTTCACCCAAGTCTAATTTAACTTAAACTTGATTCAACCTACGGGGTTTAACTTGGATCAGCCCAGTTCAAACTGGTTTGCTCCCAAATTAATCCAACATGGTTAAACAAGGATTATCTGAAGTCAATCTAAACCAAGTAAGATTAGTATGACCCCAAATAAACAAAGTCAACCTGTGTCAATCCTATTAAACTCTGGTCGATTCATACCATTTTGAAGATCGATTCATACAATTTTGAAGATAATCTGAGGGGCAACCAGCCAAATTTAGGTTAACTCGGATTACCCAGAGACTCATCTTGGATCAGCTCAACCCAATGTGAACTAATCGAAAATCAACTTAGATCTAGATGACTGAAGGTTAAGGAGGGTTTGACTTCCCATATGAGAACAAAATCCCACTTAGCCTTGGTCGCAAACAATTTGGGCTAACGTATCAAACCAACCTAAACCAAATGGCATAAAATTCACCCTAAAAGACCTTAAAACTTAAAAATGAACCAAAATAAATGCAACATGGTTTGAGAAGATATTTTGGAGGAGACAACCCATGGTAGCTAACAAACTACCTTCCAATCACTTGTGACTAATCAAGCACAAACCCCAATGACCCCAGAATGACGGAACCATGGGAGCTTGATCGGGTCATACCAAACATCAAAAATAAAATATAAAAAAAATAATCAGCTAATAAGTCTGAAGCAACGTAAAATTTTCAACCCCTAAAATCTAAAAATGACATTAAATTTAAATGAAGTTCTGGTGAACAAAGATCATCGAACGCAACTTGAACCCTAGATATCTGGGTCTACGAAGATATCTTGGACAATGAAACTCATAATTGCTGACAGACCGATCCAACTAAGTTTAACCACCTCTTGGACTAAGTAGATCAGGGAACCCGACAACCCTAGATGTTAAAAAGGCATAGGCATCTTAATCGGGTTGTCCATAAATAAAAATAACAACCAACCAATTAAACCAAAATATATTTTCTGTTAACTCTGTTTTGGAGGCTTGTTGAAGACAAAAGGCAGATGTCACTTTAAAATTACTTTGCATGTCATTAGTGTTAACTAACTCTATTTTACAGGGACGAACATTGAGAACCTAGAGCAAATGAAGAACCTCAATTAAGCTGTCAACAACAAGATAAAACTCTAGGATAGTTCAGAATCTTTAAGAACCAGTTACACATAGGATATGACTTTAATATTCCTTTTGCTTCACAAAAAAATTTGAAGTTTTTGAGAACAAATTATAAACGCAATCAGGAGCTTTCTTAAGTTATCTCGACTACTTAAAATGTAATTAAATATAGAGATTTATTCTTATAGGAAGTTGCGAACTCTATAACGGGTATATTAGTAGTTAACTTTCATAAGGTCTCATTCGCAGTTGTCTTTAAAGCATTCCAAGTGAATCCCACCTCGAACTTATGCTTTGGAACTATCAATGAGAAAATTCATTTTATGAAGGCTTCACAGGCTTCACATTACCTTTTTTTTTTTTTTTTTTTGCTTCTTTACAATGCCCCGTCGTATATTTCCCTAATAATGTCGTAAGTCATTACCTGTGAGAATAATACCGTCAACATTGACAATAATGATCGCTACCTAGCCGCTGAAAGATTGTCGAAAGAAGAGAGTATGGTCAGCTTGGGCATATGAGTGAATTCATGACGTGCCTGTAGATCATGAAATCGGTATTTATATCCCTCTTTGCATCAATAAAAAATATATTAGTTATATTCTAACAAATTCTAATACCATGGTCATGCAACACCCATGAAAATTAAACAAAATTTATCTCCTGCAAGTGAATATCATGTGTTAATAATAGTCTTCCAAGAATAATATATTTTTCCACGAAGTCAGAACAATAGAACAGGAAGACAGATTTCAAAATAATACCATTCGAAGCAATAACTTAGTATTAGTCAAATACAAAAATTGCGATTCCAAAATATTCTTACATAGCTTATAAGAACTGTAAAAAATCCTTAAATCATGGAGGAAAATAATTACATCTCTCATGGTTGGCCTCCACTGCAATCAAGAGCAGCCTGCTCCTGCCAGACCCCATTTAGGTTAGATTGCCACAGCCTGACCATACCATCACCTCCTGTTGATGCCAATGTCATACCACTCACATCCCACTCCAGTTGCCATATCTAAGAATAAATATCAGAATGGAGCTATTTATTAACTGAATGAATTAGGAGAAACCAGCGCCATTAACTTTATGAGACCAAGCGAAAAATAGTAAACCACGTGACAAATAGCAAAGGTAGTGTTTTAGATTCATGTGAAAGAACTATACATGATATTGATAAAGGTCTTCTACATTACAAATAATGTATCATCAACACACATCAAGCAATGGCAAGGAAAAGCGTATTTGGTTAGCCACAAAAATATGCATAAAATAAAAGAAAAATGCTCGTAGGATTTAATTTGTACAGATATTTTGCAGCCGAATTACTAGGGGCACAAGAAAAGAAACACACCATGAAAAATATATGATGCTCAGATCACAGCATTAACCTCATCTTAACTGTTTGGATTCGACTATATGAATCCTCATTCTCAAGTAGTCCTTCATGCATTTCTGATGAATAAATGGAAAAATGAGGATTCGTAGAGCCGGAGATAAGGCTAATGATGGTGCTGATGTTATTCAAATATGTAAACTATAAATTGAACTTTGCCATGGTTTATAAAATAAATAGTGCAACAGCATTGAAGATATTTCATTCGTCATAGGTGTAGTATATTTGAGCAGTGAATAAAAATAATAATTGCAAAGCTGGGTGAAAGCTTATAATGGATTAAACATTGAATAAAAATAAAAACAGTTAGAAGAATGTTTTAATTGCCATTCAGAAATATAAAAGTTAGCCCACTCGTGTAATAAAAGTTAGCAAGAAGAACAGCATTGAGGATAGATTAAAATTCTTAGGTGTAATATATTTTAAGGATGTAGATTGACTATACAACAAATGCAATTTGTGGCATCAAGGACGTATAAAAGCACTCATAAACAGTTTTTAAATGCTCAATAGATATAAAGCAAACTACATGTAATACTTTTAAGACAATGTCAAACACTGATCTGATCCCTTAATGTAAAAGAATAACTACAGTTAGCGATTCTTTGTTTCTAGGAGAGAAGAGGAACTAAGGTGGATAAAAAGCGTTGGATCAGTTGTCTTTCATACCTCACTGTCATGACCAGATAGTAGCACAAACTTCTCGGTCGAAAGTCTTCCATCTGTGTCGGAATTCAACCATACATGCCAAATTGCAATTCCCTTGCATGATGCAACAGCTATGACTTCAAAGGGCCTGTTAGAAATTCAAGGTTCATACAGCTTACATACGCACCAACCAAAAACTATTATCGCCAGTAAGAATGAAACAAATCATAAAGAAAAAAGAAAGAATGATACAAATCAGAGAAAAAAGAAAACTCGGTCATGAAGTATACAGGCCAGAAAAAAACAGAGTGAAAGCACTTCATGATGTTAAATGCACAAAACAGATGGCAGAGCAATTTAGACATTTTTCTATTTTATGTAGAATCAGCTTAATATGTTGAAGCAAATCGACATTCTATCCATGTAATTTCTAACATCAGCTAATACATAATATTGCTATAAATGAAGGGTTACATCAAGACTGAAAGCGATCAGCCTTGGCCAATTGAGTAACCACTCAACATCTGCATTACCTTCTAAAAAAATTGTTGATTGCAAATCTGGAGGAAAAAGGGAGGTTTGTTTTAGCATTTAGTTTTTTTGGTTCACGTTTCAATAAAATAACAAAGCATTCAAATGTGCTTAGCAGAATGGTTTTCTTAAATTTCAAGATGGGAATACGCCTAGAAAATAAGAGGATATCCTAAGAGACAGCTCAGCTTTTCACAACGAACTTCTGCTAATAATTGCTCAGTTGGATTAAAAAACGAAGTGCCTGAGGGCAAAGGGAAAGTTTATTTGGGTGAAATCAGTTAAAGTGAAACAAAAGTGAAAAAGGAAGTGGTTAAAAAGCAAGAGGGAGAAATCAAGATACAGAGAGAATTGCATGAATTGGACAGATGAAGGGTGAGGAAGATCAAGAATACAACACTAATAAGAAAGAAGGATGCAGGTATTGATAGAGAGAGAGGCACGACAAGGGATAGAGGGCAGGTAATCCAGGAAAGAGCAAGGTTGGAAATGAGAAAGATAACAGAAGCATTTATCTACTAGTATCCTTTTTATTTGTCCCTGTGGACTACAAAGTTTTACGCTCTGGCCTCTCGTGCAAAGTTTTTGGATGCTTAGTTGTTGGGACAAATTTTTGGAAGACGTTAATTTTTTGATAAGACACTGCACAAGGATTTCACCCTTATTTTGCAAGAACATTAATATATGGCGTTCGAGGTTTCCTATAGGCATAGGCCCCTATTGTAAATACCCTCTCAATAACAAGAGAGCATTGTAACGCCCAATCTTATATAACGTTACAACATCTTAATCCAAAGAGTCATATCAAGCAGAGGAGAGTCATATGAAGAGTAGTTGTATTGAGTAGGACCATCTAAGAAAAAACGAAAGGTGATCGAAAAAGGCAATTGAAAAATCAAAGGATTACCTATGTGTGATATTGACGATGGGAAAAAAACAGACTTTGTGTGCTTGTAGCAGAGAGATCATCGCCGTCTGGTGAACCAAATTGAGCAGATGATCTAGTTTGGGTTCAAGGGAATGCGTCGGCAAGTTACAGTGTGGAAGGAGGAAGACAACATTTCTCAGTGGGTGGAACCGAACGAAAATGAAGATGAGGGACTCGAGACGAGTTGCACTTGTATAAAACGAGTGAGATATTCAATTAGATGAAGATCGGCGATTCCAAGGTTGTAGACAATCAAACAAGTCAAAGTTTTGTGCAATAGGAGGAAGTCAGAAAAATTTTGGTGAATCTTGTGTGTGCGTGCAGAAGAAGGGGAGCTCATTCCTCAAATCAATCAAAGGAAGAAATGACAAGTTGCTCTAGTGCGAAGGAGAAGAAAGGAGCAAAACTGAGCATATGGGGTAAAAGAGTCGAGCAGCTTGGCGAGTTTCAAAACCGAGACCAATATTAAAAGTATGAGTAGGGTTTACTATTAAGTATAAACTAAAGATTTTATTTTAATTAGTATAATTTTGTATTAATGTTAATACTGATGAGGAAAGCTAGCAAGAAAACTTTTGTGCAAGGGAGCAGATCGATATGAGAGCCTATAAGAATTCAAGCTATAAAAGTTTCACATATGGATTGAGAAACGAGCAGTGACAGCACATCTTGGAGTGAGTCCACAAATGTGGAAACATCTCAACAAAGGTGAGATCGTTAGGAGCAACGAGATCGGCTGCATCTAAACCCCATGAGAAATTAAAGGAGATCATGCATGGTTTTGATTCGCTTCTTGCTCGAGGTGGAAGAGGCAATGAATGACATGGAGGTTCAGATCTTAGCCAAAAGGTAGATGGACGTGAGGAGAAGGATATCAACATCCATTCAACGATAAGAGGTGTGATGCACCAACTGGAGGAATTCTTAAAAGACAAAATGGCAAAGATGCGCGAGAACGTGGCGGAGGAGCTCCGATCTCACCAATAAGAAATGAGCAACATACATGTCAGCCTAGAGATATATCTCTATGCAAGAGTGCACTAGCGACAACCACCAACCACCATACTTTCGAAGCCAAGCACATCGATGTGCCAAAGCCTAAAATTTTTGGAGTTACTTGCAACGCGAAATAAGTAGACAAGTTCCTATGAGGACTTACGTAGTATTTTGGAGCCATGGGTATTACGGAGTAGGATATAAAAAAGTGATTTGAACCTCTTTATTTCTCCTACATTGCTATGCTGTGGTGGAGAAAAAAAGAGATATAAAAAATGCATGCGCACAATATCCACCTTCAACGACTTCAAGAAAGAAATTAAGAGACAATTCTATCTTGAGAATGCGAAGGATGAGGCTAGAGCCTGATTGCGAAAGCTCAAAAAAGCAAGGTCGATTTCGAAATATATTAAGGAGTTCATTAGAAACACCCGACGTGTCTGACAAAGATGCTATCTTCAATTTCATGGATGGACTCTAATAGTGGGCGAAGGCAGAGCTTAGGAGGCACGGAGTGCAAGATTTCTCTACTGTCATTGCAATCGCCAAAAGTTTAATCGACTACTCAAAATAATCCACAAAGATCAAAGATAAAAAGAGCACATATGATTAAAGTGAGGGAAACAAATACCAACATAATGAAGAAACCCACCAAGAATCGACCGTATCCAAGGGAAAAAATAAATGTAAGCCTAAAAAAAAAACCAAGCCACATAACAACTGCTTCCTTTGTGGAGGACCTTACTGGCAAGAGATAGTCTTCAGAAGATAGATTTGAACGTTGTACTAGCAAGTCATTATGAAGAAGAAGAGAACAAGAAAACGGAAGTAATATGGTGGCACAAGTAGGGTCTATACAGCTGTTGAATGGCATGCAAACTTCAACATGACCCTAAGCGAAGGGTTACTCTTTGTGGAGATGGTAATAGGAAGACCACTAGAGCAATGGTGGACACACGTGCTTCTCACAATTTCATCACCGCTGAAGAAGCAAAAAGGTTGGGTTTGCAAATAACAAAAAAATGATGCTCCATCAAAGTAGCCAATTCAACGGTAAGGCCAATCCATATAATAGTCAGAGGAGTAAAGACCAATATTGGAGCTTGGTCAGGGACATTGGACTTCTCTATCATTTCAGTTGATGATTTTAAAGTTGTTCTAGGACTAGATTTCTTGGATCAAGCAAGAGAATTCCCCATAACATTCGCCAATAGCATGTATATTATGGAAGGCAATCAAACTTGCTTAATACCAACTATAAAAACTAACAAGCAGAAAGCTAAGATGTTATCAGTCATCTAATTCACAAAGGTCGTCCGACAAGAGGAGGGAGGCTACTAAACTATTCTTCATAAGGAAGAACCAAAGCAAGAAGATATTCTAAGGGAGCTAGCAACGACAATCGATAAGTATAAAAGAGAGTTACCAATGGAGCTACCACAAAAAAAGGAGTTAGCTTGAGCCACATTACACAAGGTAGCAAGAAGAATGAAGAAGTGGGCAGACAAGAAAATGAGACATGAAGACAAATGAAAAAGGAAAGAACCTATGGTATCAGGTAGAAGGAGAATAATCCAAGAGACTCTAGAAGATTCCACTACATTCTAGAGAATGTTAGAAGAGGAAGCTTCAAGGAGGAATCTAGGATAACCTAGAATGCTCTACAATTATGTAAATATGTAAAAGGGCAATATAGAACTCTCTAGAAGTTGGTCTTTTCTAATGTAATCTAGACAGTTAAAAGGTTTGGGAGAGTACTATTAAAAAGGGAGTTTCCAATGTAACCTAGAAAGTTTCTAATGTAATCTATAAAGTTCCAAGGTTTCTAAACAACCAAGTACAATCTTTCATTCCTAAGAGAATTTTTCCTTTCTCCAATACTTTCTCGCTACTTCTTCCTAAAGAGTTTTGATGCTTACAAGTCCAAGCGTTGCAAATGTTAGGTTGGTTTAGTCCTAAGAAAGAGTGCTAAAGCAGTACGGGAGACTTAACAGAAGTTTGTCAGTGACACTTAGCTAACATGAGGCTTTATGACTATCAAATAAAGTCTTATGGTTCTCAACTCAAATGATAGAAAGTCATTGGGAAACATACGAGATACGGTCATAACCGTAATATAATGATATTATTTGTAGCAACTATTCGGTCGGATGACTCTAGTCATAACCGTTACTTTTTGTGAAGCCTTCAAGTCAAACTATGAGGACAGATGACTCAAATCACGTCCTTACTAGTATGAGATTGCTTTGAGTGTTAATATAATGATACACTCAATGTGGCTTTCATTCTTTGGCACTTTTGATAAATTATTGCGGATGATGGATGAAATTTGCTTTATAATTTAAGTGATTGATTTTAACATCAATATTTTGATTTGCTTGTTTTAGGCTCTTAGGTGTTCAATTTTAACTTGAACGTCTTAGTTTGTCATTTTGATAACTTAATTTGAAATTTGATTTTAAAATTGACCACTCCAATTGAAGTTTTTAGTCAACACGGTCATCATTAGGGATATGATTTCTTTAATTTAACCTTTTCGATTTCACTTCTTGCTAATAAAGAATCGGCTTTAATATGAACATATGATTGTACATGAACTTTGTCAACTCTATCATGAGAGGATTAGTTCATATATATTATTTGAGTTTATTCAAATATGCTTTGAAATTTAATTTTGAAAGAAAACCTCTCCG